AAAGTTCTATTTATTTGTGACTATGGGAGTTTCATGAAGCCCGCCCCCCTCCCCAGCAGTGGGGGTTCCTTTTGCCCTGAGTCTTACAGGCTGCTGAGGCTATGAAATGAATGGGCCACTTCCCCAGAGGCATTTTTTCTTTCTTTCTTTCTTTTTTTTTTTTGTTTTTGTTTTTGGATACAGGGCAGTGCTTCGGCTTGCATCTCCAAAACCAGAAACCCAGAAGTCATCTTAAATTCCTCCTGAACAACCACTTATCTGTCCCACCTTCAAAATCCCTTTCAATTCTTTCCAGTGTTTCTTTTACTATCCTAATTTTAGACCTTTATAATTTATCACCTGGGCTGCTAGTAATAGCATACCACCTGGCTGTTTCGCTTACAGTCTAAGTGCCTCCCCTTACATAGCTCACTGATTCCACCAGTGACATTGTAAAATACACGTTGGATCTTAATGATTCTGCTGCTTAAAATTCCATCTGCTGCACAAGTCAGACCTACTTATTAGTGTTTAGAAGCTGATCCTTGCCTATACTTCTCACCAGTAATGTGTTCTCCCAATTCAGTCTAACATTTTGAAGTTACTAGAACATACCATATTCTTTTTTTGCCTCTCTGCTCTACATTGGTCCCCTATACACTGAGTACTCCTCCCTTTGTGTCTACTTGGCAAACTCCTACTCATCTTAAAACTCATTTCAGATGTTTGTGATTCTTAGATTCCCCCTACGACCTCCCTAGTAAGGAATATGTTTTCTTTTTGTTTCTCTGTGTTGTTACACTTGAGACATGGTCTCATCATTTGTTTACCTACCTTCCTCACAAGGCCTCTCAACTACAGGAATAGCATTGTATTCGGCTCCATGTTTTCCTACAGCTAACAGTGTGTGACTCATCATTGACTTTTTTTTTTTTAAATGAATGAATGATCTTTAGTATTCCTTCCTGTTGGTCTTATTACCCATGAGAACATGGAGGTCTTTCTTTTTATATGTAGAATTCATTCTAATGATGTCTGAGGGCACAGAAGCAGTAGTGAATGTGATCAAGATGAATTGTTCTCACTTTGCCTTTATATTAATACAGTTGAGTGTTTAGAATTTGGGGAAATTGTACTGCAAGCAACAAGCCACCAGAATACATCTCTTAGCTTGCTAGATGTGAAGAGGCTTGTTGTTCAACTTACCAGTAGGTAATTGACAGTCCAGTCCTTTGTGGGTAACCAGCTCTGTATAATCTCATACCAGGAGCAAGTCATTTCCTTGGTCCTTGCTATAGTCATATCTTGATATTTTCAAGAGACTTTTTCTTTTTTAAAAAAAAAATTTTTTAATTACAGTTGACATACAATATTATATTAGTCTCAGGTGTACAACCCAATGATTAGACATTTATGTCACTTAAGAAGTAATCACCCTGATAAATCTGGTACCCATCCAAAACCATACAAAGTTATACATAATTATTATAATATTATTGACTATATTTTCTATGCTGTACTTTACATCCCCATAATTATTCTGTAATTACCAATTTGCACTTTTTAATCCCTTCACCTTTTTCTCCCATCCTCCCCAGCTCCCTCCTATCTGGCAAACCTCAAAATGTAAGAGACTTTTTTCTTTACTGTAGTAGCAAATTAGTTTTCAAATAAACAATACAGCAATACATTTATTTTATGATAGGGAAATTATACCACTTTTAGTAAAAATAAAAATCTATGTTATTTACTCATTATTCGGAATTCACTGATTTATTTAATGTAAGCAAGCAATAGTTTAGACTTTTTAAATATCATTGTTCAATTTAACTTCTCTTAGTTAAAAAAATTTTATTTTTAAAAATCTGTTTTTTCTAATTCTTTTATATTTGATGTGGCACTTCATTATATTTAATAAATAGCTGCTCGCCTTTCTGTCTGCACTATTTCCATTTAGTTCTCTGATAAGTAGTAGTCAGTTGGGTAATATAAGTAATCAGAACAGTGCAAATGGATACTTTATCTGCAATTCCCAGTGTCCCTTTTCTGGAGATTTGGTTATCTCAGTAAGTGTATTACTTTGTCTTAATTAGCAAAATCATACCTTGCATTGAGCTGATAGCACACATTTATACCTGCTTTTTCTTACTAGCAATAGACATATTACAATGAAGTCATTTTTAAATTGTCACTGATATTTTCAAAGGTCTTAGTTGTTTCAAGATTTTTAACTTGAAATTACACTTTTTGGGTGTGAAAGGGGGAAACAAGTCTCCCTTCAATTAACCATTTCATGCCATACCTGTCTTCTCCTTGGTTTTTTTCTCTCCCCCTATTTAGTAGATTTTAGTGTTAGGGTCCTGTTCTATGTTTTTACTAATTTTTGTAGAGCATATGATTGCTTTGGCATGGTCATTTTTTTCAAGGGAATTCCAAGGAGAATCTTTTAAATTAGTTACATGGTTATTTTAGTACCTTTCTTCTTTTTTCTTCTCCCCCTCCCCTGCCACTCCTCCTCTTCCTTCTTGTTTCTTTTAGTACCTTCATTCTTGAAGGACACTTTATTCATCTCTATGGTGATTTATTGTGAAAATGCCCACTAACTTTAAAGTAGGATATTTCACCTTAAGTAAAAACCGAGGTGACTTATTTATTTTAAACATTCTAAAATAAGAGTTTAATGTAACATTATGGATTAATTTTGAGTAGTCATTGTCTTGATTTTATTATTTTTTTAAATACCAAGTCAGCCCTATACCATCTTGGCCAACCATTCCTCCAAGAATTAGTGAACTTTGTTCTTAAGAAGTCCCCAATTATATGCCATAATATAATCCCTGATTGCTGATTCTGGCAGCCATAGTTCAGTGCTGGTCAAGGAGGTGGAATAAGTGGCAAACAAATGATGCAGTCAGTACAACTATATCCACCCCTTCTGTTGGAGAAATTTTAGAAATACTGTATATATTTGTTTATCGATTGGCAGTTTTTAAAAGTTATTTAATAGTAAAAAAAATGGTCCTTTAAGTTCATGTTTCAAAGCCCTGTACCAAGCTTTTCAGTATTTTCAGCCCACATTATTTTATAGAAAGTGTAAGTCTGTGTGTGTGAGTGTGTGCGCATGAGTGTGTTTATACATATATAGCAACTATCCCTGTATCAGGACATGATCAATAGGCTCTGCCCCATATAAATTATTTGGGTCATTGAAAGATGACTTTAAGATACATATTTCTTTACTGAATGCACAAAGGTAATGGAAGTTGCAGGTTTCCTCTGAGTTGTATAGAATATAACCACACAGTGAGCTCTAGAAACGTGTGTGCAAGGCACATTGGCCTCTGTAAGAACTTTGCTATTGTGAGCTTCAGTTCAAGTGACAGTCAACTTCAGATTTGTTTTCATATGAGCCATCATTCCAAAGGCAGATAGTTTTTAACTTGTTAAATGGATGTTCACTCTTGGGCAAGGTAAATCTGTTTTCTATGTATTTGCCATAGCGAAACCTCAGTTGATCCCTCGTTTGGCAGTGAGACAGAATAAATAAGCTATGGAAACATTTTATTCTGAAACTTTTCAACAAGAATTTTAAAGGTAGCATTAGCTAAGTATATTGACCTATTTTTGTTTAACTAGAATTTCCTGTCAACTGAGAATATAACCTTTATTCTAAACTTTGTTCTCAATAGAGGTACAGTACCTTGACACTTTTATTTTTTACAGTTTTTAAATGTTACTCATTTGAAATTATAAAGAATAATTTCAATTATTTTTTAATGAGTAAAATGTGTAATATATATCATGAAGAAAAGTGTTGCACAATGTCCTAGCATATTCTGACAATTTCATATCCCCTTATTTCTAGGAAAAATGGTTTGTTTCGTATTTCACTTTCACATCAATTTCACCAGAATGAAAGGCCATATTTGTGGGAAATGACATTTCAAAACTGGGAAAAAGGAAAGAACATATTTATGAGGAAACAAATGATTCATTTTGGAGACATGGTTCTGTCTCGTGCCCAATTAATCAGAGTTAAATACATACCTCATTTCTTCACTGAGTAAATATTTACTGAGAGCCTACCATGTGCTAAGCTCTCTATAAGTCAAAGACAGAGGAAGATGCCTCTCCCTGGGATCTGAGTGCCATTAGTCCTTAGGGTAGGTGTTTAAAGTTAAAGCCAACATTATACCAATGATAGATTGGAAGTTACAAATGCACCTGAGTGTTCTGTAACAAATTTGTGCGTATGTATGTGTGTTTTGATATGCAGGACCTTTAAAGGACAGAACCTAAATCCAAATTACTCCAGTTAGATCATAGTACCTTCCTTGACCTTCAGTAACTTCCTCTGTCACTATTAGTTACTTTCTGTTACCACTTTTATCTTCCATGTAGTACTTCTCATTATCCTGAATTACCTTAGAGTTTTCTCTGTTTATAATCTGTATCTTTTCAATAAAATATAAGTCCTGTGAGAGGAGAAATTTTTTTCTGTGTAGCTCACCAAAGTAACCTTGACACTTTTAAATTACTACTTCCTCTAATGAAATGTGACAAAGTGGTATACAACTTTTCTTTTCTAAAAAATCTTGAAAATTGGTGATATTCTGAAGGTCATAGTTACTATCCGAATGTTTTATCGAGATTAAACCAAAGTGCTGTGGAAATCTTTCTGTCAAGCTCTCATATAAAGTTTTTAATACTTAATGAATCAGTTAAGGCAGGAATCTCTTTTCAACAGTAAATAAGTACTTTAAGTTTTTTTCTTTTCTGTTTGATTTTGGATCTTGTTTAGTGTTTACTGCCTGTATCATTTTTGTTTGCATTATCACTCTGTGTCTCATGAACTTAGTTGAATATTGCAATTCATTTTTTAATTTAAAAGAACGTATTTCTCTTACATATTTCTCATATTAAACATAATAAGTACCAACACAGCCTAACTGGAACTTACATTAATTTTAGGTGGCATTTCTAAAATGAGTTGTTGCTAATGTTGTTTTTAATTTTAATAGCCTCAAGTACTACAGCCTTCCAGCAGCCTTCCCAGACCCACAGACCACACCCAGGGAAAACTAATAAAATCGCAACATATCGAGGACCACAGTGAATGCACAACCCAGGGCATGCATCAGGGTATTGCACATCTGGATGAAAGCTTTACACATAACTTGCAACAGGAAAGCAACTGTGGTGCAGAAGACCAACCTTTTTCCTCAAGCCCGCAATTCACTAAGGATGTGGCTAAGAGTACACCTTTGGAAGCAGACTTGAACACGACCATGGATGTGCAAGAGCCTTATCATTTGGCAAATAATCAAATTAATGATTTGCAGATTGTACCCACTTCTCCTCAAATACTTACCCAGTCAAGTACAGTAGACCAGGCTAAGAGAGTTGGAAGAAATCAGTCTTCATTGGAGGACTACACATGTCAGCCCAAATCCTTACAGTTTTTTAAGCCATCCAACTTAAATTCTTTGGTACCTCCTTCAGTTTCTGAACCATCTTCTAGTAGGACTCCCATTTGTAAGAGCTCACCAATAATTGCACCATGTAATTCAGCAAAACTTAAGCTAACATCTAGTCAGACAAATCTTGCAAATAATCTAAATCTAAAGGCATCTAAGCTCCGCCCTCCTGGCTCTTTCAAACAAAAACAAAGCAACCCCCGACTAGAGCCTCAAAACTTTCAGGCCAAGACAAGCATCCCAAGGCCACTAACAAAAAGAAAAGAGATCATGCAGAATCCAAATGGCATTTTGAATTCTGGGGATTGTTTGGCCTCTAATCGATATTCTCGTCTTCCTAAACCAAAGATACATTAAGTACATAGCCATCACCTGCCAATTTGTTTTTTTAAAAAACAATCTGTTCTATAATAGCTCTTTATGCAGTTTGCTGCCGTGATAGAGCTTGCAAAATCTCAAAAATTAAAATATGGATGCTTCTACTAATTTGGGCTTTCCATTTTATATCCTGGTTGAAGTACATAGCATTTGAGTATATTTGTCTCAGGTAAACACAAAGTTTGCTTACCCATCTCAGAGGCCTACAGAAGGCTTTAATCATGTTATGCATCCCTTTGCACATCAGAAAATCCATAATATTCACCTAGTAGGCAAGAAACGTGCTTTGCTTATTTAGTCCTTTTAAGGTCTGTATTAAATGTGGTTCTCAGAGCCTCTTTTTCACTTGTCCCTCTTGTGAATATGGTTATTATTTAAATAAAGATTTGGTGATAATGGAAGATGGTACTCTGTAAGCAGAGTTCTGGCCAATGATTTGTCTATTTAAAAGGTCTATGCAAAAGCTCTGTGATGAATAAAGGAGATCAGGCCTTGAATGGGAAGTCTGTGTAAGTTTTATTTTCCCTAGCATCAGCAAGCTACTCTGAATGTTTGTTTACCAAATATCCCAGGCTAAAATGTATAAACCATTTATATATTACTTAAACATTTTGTTTTATACACACACACCATTGTGTTTGTTTTTGCTACTGGATAAATTTTGGAAAGCTTGAGATATATCTTGAATCCTGTACCTAAAGATGTATTCATTTATAGCATGTTGGTGCTAGAGTTTTGCTGGTAATTCAATTTGGAACACTTATAGGCTTATGGACCCATGATAGCTGTTTTAAAGTTCCATCACATATATATTGTTTTTAATGTAATATGTATATTTATTTACTTTCTGCTAATATCTGAGTACTAGAATAATGGACTTGAAATGTTTGCACAAAACTTTGATGGGCTATAAATATCCTATAAATAGGGATATAAGACTAGTTTCTGCAGTAAAACAAGTTAAAATATTTTCACAATAATTATAAATTTAAGACTAACTTGAAAAAGCTAGCATTCACAGTATTTTTGTTCTACTGAGTTTTTCAGGTTTCCCTTTTATATTGGTATATGTTTGAGTGGTAATTTCTTGAAAAGTAGCTTTTGGAAGAAAAATAGAATTAGAGAGGGGAAGTTATGTTTTTATTAAAAGGTATTAAAAGATGTTTCAATGGCAGTATGCTTATTTAATGTTCTAGAAAGGTAGCTGTGGAACTGCCAAGGGACCAGATGTACTAACCTAATCATGCTGTGGACCGCTCTTCAGATGGTTCAGTAAATTTGCCCCCCTGTCCTCTCAAATCATGTCCTCTTTAGGTTGTTCACTGTTGCTGCTTTAATTACAATTATTGTCTTTCAGAGAGAGAGTATTTTACAGTGTGAACTTTTGTTGTGATCAGCTGGCTAAAATGTATCCAAAGGGGCTCTGGCCAAAAAGTTAGTCACTCAAATTTCTAGAGATTCCTTTTAAAAATATACATTGGTGAAATTGTGTGCCCCTTTTTAGAGAAATAACAGCATGTGTTTTACTGTAAAATTTGAGAAGTGATTACTACCATTTTGATGTAGCCTTCCCTTACCATTCCCTTACCATTCCCAGCGAATTTGCTATTCGCTGGTTACAAACCATTCTTGGACTTGGTCACAGGTGACTATCTTATTCTCATTCTACAACACTTCTTCAGGGGAAGCACAGTAGTTCAGAAAGTTTTTCACATTTTCCAGATATTGTTAGTATAAAATGATTAGACATATCAACAAATCTCTTGTTTGTTCATAGAGATGAGCAGTAGCTCCAAGTGGGTACATGTGGTCCTACATTTTGAAAGAGAAAACTTATATCTTACAAATGGGATGTTATTACCCTATATTTCTTTAAAGGAATACATACTGATGAATTAGGAGGGTTTTGGTTAATTTAGAAGCTGATAGAGATTCTCCAGGCACATCATTAGAGGGCAGGTTTCTTTGGAAAAAACCGTAATACTGGGAAACTAGAAGGCAACAGCAACAGGAAAAAAGGAAGACCAAATATAAGATGGATTGACTCCGTAATGGAAGTAATAGGCATGAGTTGACAGGAGCTAAGCAGGACTGTTGAGGACAGGACATTGTGGACATCACTCATTCACAGGGTTGCCAGGAATTGGAGTCAACTTAATAGCATGTAACACAAATGTGCGCTTGTGTGCGCCCTCACTCGCTCACTCGCTCGCTGTCTCTCTCAACATTATTTACAAGTAGGCCTTTGTCTTTAAGGAAGTTTTAGTTTTTTACATTATTTTTAACCCCTAGTCTGAGGTAAATGTCCTGGCTATTACATAAAAATACTGACTTCTGCAATTTGTCTGTTCTAATGTTTTCCTGCTCTTTTTTTCTCCCTGATGAATTTGCAGAAATATGAATCAACCCATCAGTTCAAAATATACCTTTGTTGAGCTTTAATCTTAGCAGAAGGCTGATCGATATATATATAAAAATATATATCATAATATATTTAAGAGAAAAAAATTAGGATGCTTGCACAAAACAAAGTATTTGCCTGCAGTTTTCTTTAGATACTGCAAGAGTATTATGTTATGCTGCTCCTTAGTAACCATTTGTCAAAAATGAGGTGAGGATGTAGCTCGCCTTAATCTCTGTTTAGTGCTTCTATAAATCAACTCTGTGCCAAAACCCCTCCACAAGAACTCAGGTCATTTTTTTCTTAGTTCTTGTGATTTCAGTGAAGATGGTTGCAGTATATGAATTCCAAGTTGTTAGGAAGTTTTCTGGGGATTGGGTAAGTTTCACATTTGTGAAAGAGAAAATTACTCGAGTAGGTAGAATTATACATTTGGCTTTTAATGGGATGCCTATCAAATTCTTTAAAGAAAGCTTGGCCTAGGCCCTAAGGCATTTATCAGTACAGGTGCAGATGATTTTAATGCATTAAAGGATTACATCATTTAGATGTTAAATCATTTAGAATGTTTATAAAGACTGAGACCCTCTAAGCATTTTTCTTTTGGAGTCTCTTTTTAATTTGTGCAATATTTTCAGGCATATGGACTACTATTCATTGGGTTTATGTAGATATTAGGGAACTTACTAAGTATTTTAACAAGTAAAAACCTGAATATGAAAGAAAATACCAGATTTGCACTTTAAATGAGCTTAACTGCTTGGAGCTGTGCCTGAAATATTGAAATGCCTCCTATTGGGTGTGGCTTTTTTGTTGAAATAAATTTGTTTGTTGCTGTTTGAAGTACAGCCTTTCACAGAATTATATCCTCAGCATGTCCCTTTTCCCATTAAAGCACTAAGTTCTTTGAATGTTTCATTGACCCTCTAAGTATTTTACTCAGCGCATCAGAGAGAACATGCTCCTCCTATAGCTGTCAGTTCTAAATCTTCCCGTAGCTTTAGATGGTGGTACAGACACAGAGGTACACTTTTCATTTCTGAGCAGAGTTGTCCTGATTGTTTCCTGGTCTCTAGGGCACTGAGGATATAATTTGGAATCACCAAATAGGTTTGCAATGATCAGTAAGACTGCAGCACATTTTAGTTTACTCTCATAGTAAACTTACGCAATGGTTTTCGTGTTTATAAATTGGGTGGTTATGTTTGCATGCTTATGCACACATTTGAAAATTAATTGTAGCCGTAATACAAATACCCGATTCTTACCTTGGGGACGGTGGCCTTGCTATTTTTCTTAATTCTGATGCTTGGATTAGATTGTTCTAATTTTCTTTCCACACCTCCCTTCAGTTTTTCTGCTGCAGTAACTTGAAAGACTACGTATGAAAAAATTATTATGACGGTGGACACCAATGTACAACTATGTTATTAACTAAAGATACATCTTATGTTTTAACTCCGTTGGGGAAAAGCTATCCATTTTCTCCGTGGTAAAGCATCACCATAACAAAATAATACTGACCCTAAGAATTTAAGTCTCTAAGGCATTACTAACTAAAAACAGAAAACACCACAATCTTTAATATCTGCAGTATTGTTTTTCCTATTGATTTAAAAAACCAGTTCAGACTAAATACTGTATATTAGAATTTGCTTGTAAAATGAATTATAAGAACTGGATGTAAAGTCTCTTTCCTCAGAATGTTGGCATAGTAAACAAAAATAAAGTCCATAATTATAAAAATTTTCTTGTTCTTCTCAACATTGACTTCCATAATGTTACTTTTTCTTGGATATCATTTTTCCCACAATGATTTAAATACTGTCCATTTGGTGGTGGTGGTTGTTTTTGCAAACTGTATGTCATTTCACATACTCCCTTCTACATACATAACATACTTGGAGCCTTGAGTAGGAGTTGAACAGTGTGTTGTGATTTCACAAATTCTGTAAGTTATTTAGTACTTCAGTTTCTATTTTAATAAAACAGTTGCTTTATCTCAGAAGATAATGGGACAATGGATAATTTTTACTTTCAAAATAAACATTAACACCTTGAATTAGAATGCTGCATAAAAGCGGGAAACATTAAGTTTTATTGTTTTGTTTTATTTTTAAGCTTTACATGCACAAAATAGCTTGAAACAAGAAGAACGTTTAGTGAAATTTTACATAGTTTTTTAGGAACGAAAAGTTTGGAATTTATAATTTTCCAATTTAACTGTATGTACTAATGATATAATAGGAAATACAAAGTTGATGTATTGATATGTTATTAATCCAAAATGGTTACATAAATGATGGAAAAAGAATGTAGGAAATTTCATTAGTAATAAGTTTGATTGATAATGGCATTTATCCCCTCTCAAGTCACCCGTGTCAGTTTTATGTCCCTCTGGGTTATTAGCAAGTATTTTCTTAGACTAACTCAAAAAATGTTTTTTTAGTCTGTCATCAAGTGCAGTTATTTTAGTTTTCTCATTATGTTGTTCATTCCACATTTCCTATTTTGAAAAAAAAGTTTATCACCCGCAGAAAAGAAAGTAGAAGTTAATTCTGACTTTTTCTGTTAATTGGGTTTAAGCAGTTTAAATGAGATGTCTTATGTATGTCAGTCACTGCGTTAGCTATTGTTGTGTGTGCAGAGATGAAGACTACCTGGTCTCTGCCTCTTGAAGCTTAAGGACGACCCCAGGCAGTTTTTAACTTCATGCCATCCAGTTCAGGAATTACTGTGTAATCTTAATCTGGGCAAGATACATTCAACCAGCTTGAGACATGGTTAGTTCAAAATACTTCAGAATTACAGGAAATTTTCATGACAAATTTTAGTTGAGGCTCTATATTTATGTAATATAAATTAAAGGTGGTTCAAGTGCAAATATGAATTGCAATCAAAGACAAAAAATAATAGAACCTGTGATGAATTATGAATCCATGTTGTTTCTTAAACTGTTCCAGACTAATGCTAAGGTATAAACACATGCACTGCAAACTCCTTCCTACTTCAGTCAGGCTCAAAAGTCCAGGGCTAGACAAGAGGTTGGAGGAAGTGTTTAGAAAGGGAGTAGAGCAGAGATCTGCCTTTTATAGCTCCCCAGAATTTAAGAGAGAAACAGAGGAGACCATGGGCTTATATTTGTGAACAGTTCAAAAAGCATTACTTCAGTTACAGTGTGGATCAGCCACAGACAAAAACTGGACAATGAAACATGAAAAATTGACCTCACTAGTAGGGAAATGCAAAATCAAGTGACAGGCTGTGTGTGTGTGTGTGTGTGTGTGTGTGTACGTGTACATGCGCGCGCGCACCTTTATATAAAGAGCTACTTGAAGGAATGGAAAATTAGAAGTAAATGTCTCACTGTGAAAGTGACCCTATTATTTCATCCATATGACAGAATAATTCTATAGTCGGTGCTCTTGAAGAATATTCAGAATATTCAAATTATAACTATTTACTCAAAATATTCTCATTATAACGGGACAAAAAGCAAAATAACAAAACTGTTAATATAGTACAATCTTAGTATGTATAAATTCCTATATAAAAGTATAACATGGTAAGAATGGGTGGTTTTATTTTTTTACTTTCATTTTACACATTTTCTTTTTTTTTATATTATGCGACTGTCCTCTTAGACAAATGTTTTGTTTTAAATAACAGTCATTTCTGTTGCCTACGCACATAGGCATTCACTAACTGGTCCTCCTTACTGCATCCCACCCGTCATCCCCAGACACACTATTATTGAGTCTAGAAGTCCTAATGAGAAGGGAGAGTTGGGTCATCTTGTCCTTGAGGATTTCTGAATTTAGTCACGGCTCCACCACAGTCCTCTAGTCCTCATTTAAGTTTTGGACTCAGAGTACACCCAGAACCTTCCCTGAGCTGACTTGGCTAGGACATGGTCAAAGGAAGGGGTATAAAGTAGTAAAGCCACAGGGAACTTAGGAGCAACCCGGCCTCCTCTAGTCCCCTGGACCTACTTGGTCTGCCTTTGAACTCGTAACTCATTTTTCAAGAGTCTATCTTCTGCCCAGCTTTCTCTTACCCCCTGGGTTTGCACAGCCCCTAGAGGATGTCCCCTCACAAGGAGCCCTCCCCACCCTGGAGAGAGAGCTCCTCTAGGACTGATACTCATGCCTCTCTGTCTAGTCATAAGCACATTGGTTACATAAGTGGACAGGTGGAAGGTCAGGATAAGACCTGCAGAAAGAGTGGCCATAAATTTGAAAGTCCCCTTCTTTCCCCAGCCAGTCAAGCTGAAGATGGGAAAAGTGAGGGATAGAGCAGAACATTGAATTCTTTAAAATTTCTCTTATTAACTCACAAATGCAAGTTAAAACATTTGAAATGGAGGCTATTTAGAACATGATATCTAAGAACATGGTATAACAGGATGGGAGATGTCACTAGTATACAAAAACGTAGTCAAATTGACTTCAGCAAAGTGTTACTTCATCTCCTATGCCTCTCTCACCAGACTTGTGTGGAGCAAGGATATGTGTGTCCAGGTGCTATCTGACAAACTGGAAATACTTGTTATTAAAATCTATGGCATACAAAACAGTTGCATTTTATTTAATTGTTAGCTTTATTTACTATGTGTAGCTGCTAAACAAAATGAGTTAGAACCTAGAGAAGGGGGCACTCCAAGAATAGATGAGATGAGACAGGGAGTGATGATCCTTAGATATAGGCGTGGGCAAAAGTAGATTTATAGTTGTGAGTACACTAAACAGTTTATTCTTGTATTATTATTTATTCTTGCATTATGTTTTTTCCACGTGAACAACTGTAAAAAACCTACTTTTGCCCACCCCTGTATAGAGAGAGGCAGAGACAGAGGAGGAAAACTGCAAGAGAGGCCTTGTTCCCCAGGCTCTGTGGGCCCATTGGTCTGGTGACGCTCAGTATGCGGTCAGTATAGTCTCCTGTAGAGCCAATCCTGTCTCACCTCCCTGTTCAAACCCTCCCGAGGCTGCCAGTGCCCTGCCTCCTGTGCTCCACCATACTTTTCCGGAGCAGGAATACATGTGTCCTAGGCCTCCCTCATTTCCTTGCAGGGTCCCCAGGCCCACATGCTGCTTACAGGGAAAGAGCCGCTGAGTGAATGAGCAGTGTTTGTTCACAATGCCCTGTTAGAGGATGATGTGTCAACACATTTTAAGTCATGTAAGCAAAGACACAAAGACAGGTCTACCTGACACCCAAACTAGTACTACTGCTCCATCCTTTTCCTCCTTCTTGCATTCAGGTAACTGGGTTTGGGAACATTACCCTATGCATTACAGATAAGTCCACCGAAAGTGACAAAATATTCTCCCAGACTTAAAATTTATACCCTTAACATGTATCAGCTAGGCGTGGAAATATTCAGCTTAACTTACACCAACTCTTCTCATGTGGTATTTTCTAACTAATCACCAGTTCCATCTATACCCTATCAAGTGGGAGTACCACTGAGTGAAAACCTGCATAAACTGATTGATTCTTACCTGGGTCCCACTGCGTGATTAGGCTGTGGAATGTCAGCTCTTCATGTATTGACAAGACTTTCATGTTTGGTATAAAGGAATATATCATGCCATTGGATATATTTTTTGAAGTATGGAAGATGGAGGCATAGGTAGATACACTTTGTCTCCTCGCACAACCAAAAGAAGGACAACAACAAATTTAAAAAGAAAACCAGAACTGTCAGAAAATCAAACTGTTTGGAAGTCTGACAACCAAGGAGCTAAATAAGAAACATTCATTCGGACTGGTAGAGGGGGCGGAAACAGACAGCCAGGGTGGAGAGGATGTGTGGCAAGGTGGCGGCTGGAGGACCAGGTGGTCCTACATTTGAGAGCAGATAAACAGTGAGGAACAGCTGGGGAGTGAGACAAACCACGCAACCCAGGGTTCCAGGGTGGGAAAAGAAGGCCTCAAAACCTCTGGCAGTAAAAACCTGTGGGAGTTGCGGTGGCAGGATAAACTCCCAGCCTCACAGAAGAGTTCATTAGAGAGACTCCCAGGGTCCTAGAATATACACAAACCCACCCACCTGGGAACCAGCACCAGAGGGGCCCGATTTGCTTGTGGGTAACAGGGAAAGTGACCGAAAGCTGGCGGAGAGCCAAGCAGGTCATTGTTCCCTCTCTGACCCCTACCACAGACACAGCACAATACCACAGTGACAAGGGTTGCCCCACCCTGATGAATACCTAAGGTTCTGCCCCTTACAACATAACAGGAGTGCTGAGACAAGGAAATATGGCCCAAAGGAAAGAACAGATCAAAACTCCAGAAAAGAATACAACTAAGTGATGAAGATAGCCAGCCTATCAGATGCAGAGTTCCAAACACTGGTAATCAGGGTACTCACAGAAATGGTTGAGTATGGTTGCAAAATAGAGGAAAAAGTGAAGGCTACACAAAATGAAATTAAAAGTATGCAGAGAACCAACAGTAGAGGGAAGGAAACCAGGATTCAAATCAAGGATTTGGAGCAGAAGGAAGAAATAAACATTCAACCAGAACAGAATTAAGAAAAAAATTTGAAAAAATGAGGAGAGGCCTAGGAACCTCCAGGACAACTTCAAACATTCCAACGTCTGAGCCATAGGAGTGCTGGAAGGAGAAGAGGAAAAGCAAGAAATTGAAAACTTACTTGATCAAATAATGAAGGAAAACTTCCCCAATCTGGCAAAGGAAATAGACTTCCAGGAAGTCC